ATCTTGTCTCTCTCTCTCTCTTTACTTTTATTAAAGTCTTCCTCTCTCCCAGTCTTTACTACTTCCACATTTAACTTTAGTATCTATTAAATTTTTAAAAAAAGAAAAGTGTCATAATTAATATATAAAATTTTATAATTTTAATTAATTATTAACATTATTTAATATATAAATATAAATAAGTGTTTATTAGTTGGATTTTTAAAAGTTAAAATGTTAAATGTCTTAAAATTATATTATTTTATTAAAATATTATGAGAATAGACTAAAACAAATTCAATTTTTGTTTAAGAATATGTTGTTTTAATATTTTTTAATGAGAGATTACTAAAATGATAGTTTTTTTTGTCTTTTTTCCCTTAATTTTTTAGAGACTCAATTGATAAGTACCTTTTTTATTTAAATAAATTATAATTATTTTTAAAATAAAAGTAAAATAAGAATGAAAAAAATTAAATGACATTTAAAAAAAACCTAAATTTAAATGCTTTATATTAAAAATTAAGTTTATTAAAATTAAACAAATAAATGTACTTTTTAATAACAAAATATTTTTTCTTTTGGGTTTTATATTGTTTGAACAAAAATGTATTTTGAAATATGTATTGCATAACTTAAACCATTATTTGTGAGTTTTCCTTATATTAGAATTATTTTTCATCTAATAGTTTATGTATGTAATTTGATGTAATTTGAATTACAAAACATAACAATTTATTGTTTTATTATGGATTTTTTTTTTTAACAATGTGTTTTTCAACCTAAACAATCCAAAAAAGGTGCAGTCCAAATTATAAATTTATTACAATATCCCTAATGAAACTTTTTTTCATTTGACTTATTAAAAGTATTTAATAATTTTAAAACATAAATTATATTTTTAATTTGCAGTCTAAATTATGAAATTTTATTCTCTCTTCCATTTCTCTCTTTCTTAAAAAATAATAAATCTTTTTTGTTCCTTTATTTTTTTTTCTAACGTTGCGAGTGATATTCAAATTCAAATTTTATGATTGAAAAAATAAGTGTTGAAAGAATTTTTGTTTATAAAATTTTACTAATTATGTTTTAAAAAATAATAAATTAATAAAATTGAGTGGTGCAAGTTTATTTCTAAAAACTTAAACCACACTAAAACTACATGGAGACACCTTCGTGACTAAAGAAAAAGTCTTTGTCATTAGCTACAAAATTAAATTCTTTTTTCTTATATATTTATGATTAAATTATTCAAACTAGCACTCAGGCTTTTGAGCAAATGACGTTGTAAGGACAGGTTCGAGGTGCCCAACCTCAGACGTACGGCAGTAATTCCTTTATAATTGGAGTGAAGAATAAATTCAGAGCTTCTCGCTCAAACAGCTATATGACAGCGACAATAAGCATGCTCGCACCTGATTCTTTATGATGAGCTGCACAGCAGTTATGGCGGGCATCCTTGCATCTGAATATCTCTCAAATTCCTGATCTCGAAATAATTGTTTGGATAGACACGTTAGGCTCCGATTATCTTGCTTGGCATGCCACGTGGGTTCCTCACTAGAGCCTATAAATACCCCATAAGGGTCACGTCAAAAAAGGTAATTGAAACCAACCCTAAGCTCCTTTTTTCTTCGCTCTAAAGGTAGCCCCGATTATTGCTGACTTTAGCATCGGAGTGTCTACCCCGAGGACCCACCTCGAGGCTTTGCAGGTCAATCCGGAGTACAGACACGGACTAAGGAAGGTCTTCTGGTTTGGTGCAATTACATTTGGCGCCGTCTGTGGGAAATCGAATTGAAAGCTCCCTTGTTGCTCTCATCATGGTTAACACTTGATCAGTCTGAGTTGGAAACTCATCTCAGCCTCCTCGATGAGGTCAACCCCCCAACAACCTCCCACCTTAGCTTCCACCTCAGATCCCAAATATGTTCCCTCCTGTTGATCATGCAGAAGGAGGAGATGAGAATCAACCACACAACTCAGCTCACAACTCTACTTCCACTGCCAACCAAGACGTAGTTGCAGCTCAGCTTGCTGCCATGCAACAACAATTTGGTGTCTTTCAGCTAGTACTGGCTTAGCTCTTAGCTTGGAATAACCCTGGTGATCCCCTCATCAATTTACTTAACCCTGTTCCACAACCCCCAGCTCCATAGCAAAATCCCCAACCAGTTCAGCATGCTCATACTCTTAGTGAATCTCAGGGTCAATCTCACATAGCACCAGCTCAGCAACCCCTCCCTGATGATGTCACTCGACGTCTAGATAGCTTAGAAAAGCTAGTAGCTGAATAGCGAGGTGCCCCACCTCCACACCATGCCGCTGACTCCATACCCCACCCTCTGAACACCAACATCACACTGGAACCTTATCCTGCTGGCTTCAAAATACCTCAGCTTGAGACTTATGATAGGACGAAGGATCCCGATGATCACTTACATGCTTTCTACTCTTGCATGCAAGCTCAGAACGCCTCTGATGCATTGATGTTCAAAATCTTTCCTTCTACTCTTCGAGGTAATGCTCGAACCTGGTATTACAGTCTTCCTCCGAGGTCAATCAGCTCTTATACTGAAATGGCATCTGCTTTTGCCACAAAGTTTTCGAGTAGAAGGTTGATCAGGAAAACTACTTTTGAGTTGATGTGAGTTAAACAGAGGGATGGAGAATCTTTGAAGAATTATATGAGCAGATTCAATGATGCAGTATTGGAGGTTAGCTCCTTTGACCAAGCTGTGGGGATTGCAGCTGTGATCTCAGTTCTTAACCATGAGAGATTAAGAGATAGTTTGATCAAACACCATGCCGCCACTCTTAGCGAGGTGAATGATAGGTCTCTGAAATTTATAACTGTTGAGGAATATGCCTTGTCGCAGAACCCAATTCCCTCTAAGAACCAAAACCCAGACTGGAGAGATGAGAATCTGAGCAGGAAATGGATGAGGACTGCACAGAACCGAGGTCCGATGCCAACCTCCACATCGAGATTCGAAAGGCCGAACCCAGCACCTCCACAACAATCTGCAGGTAAACCTCCAGTTACTTGGACACCTTTTAACTTGCCGAGGCCACAGATCTTTATGCAGATTAAGAACAAGATGGACTTAAGGCGTCCTGGTCCAATGAGAACTGCTGTTGCTAGCCGAGATCATACTAGATATTGTGATTTTCATCAAGATCACGGTTATACAACAGAGCAATGCAACAGTCTGAGGTCTGAACTGGAAAGTCTAGCTTAGAAAGGAATGTTGAATGAGTACATCCAGAAAGCTGAACAGCCAAGATTTGTCAGCGAACAGGGACCACAGCCTCAAGGAACCCGTAATCCACCAAACGGACAAGGAGTGGGACATCAACAAGCCCCGCCTCCACTTCCACCACCAGCCAGAATCATACACATGATTATAGGAGGATTGGAAGCAGGAGGGATGAGCTCCAAACAAAGGAAGTTATATGTCAGAGAGGTCAAGCACTAGAACCGAGCTCAGAAAAGGAAAATTGATGATGCTGAATGGAAAGATCAACCAATCACTTTTACACCTGCTGATTTTGAAGGGGTGGTAACACCTCACAATGATCCTTTGGTCATCTTTGTAATGGTCAATAATTGTCAAGTCCAGCGTGTACTTGTTGACACTGGCAGTGCACTTGATATCATGTATTACCACTGTTTTGAGAGCCTAGGGCTCGATCCAGTTCTACTACAACGATATGATGGTCCCATATATGGCTTCAACAACCAACCAGTTCCAGTTGAAGGGATCCTAACTATGAATGTTGCGTTTGGAAGTGGCCGAACCTATGTGGCTCCCTCAGTTCGGTTTCTGGTGGTCAAGATGCCTTCTTCTTTCAATGTTGTCATTGGCAAGCCCACATTAACAAAGATTTGAGCTGTGGTCTCTCAATCTCATCTTTGCATGAAATTTCCAACCCCCATGGGCATAGCAACACTCAGAGGCAATCAGGAAGTAGCCAGATATTGTTATCTCACTTCGGTCACGAGGCCAAAGAAAGACAATGACCAACCACCAGAAAATCCTCCCCAGGAAATCCATGACAATCGGCAAGTGATGGGGGTTGAAATCCTCGATAACGGACCTGAAGATGAAACCCGAGCTGCTCCGGGTGAAGATGTTGAAGAGGTACAGATTGATGACAGAGATCCGACCAGGAAAACACAGATAGGAACTCGGCTGAACCCCGAGGAGATAGCAGAGCTGATAACCTTTCTCCGAGCGAGCAAAGATGTTTTTGCATGGACTTCAGCAGATATGCCGAGAATTCCCACTTCGATTTCTCAACACAAATTCAGCACCAATCTACTCAAGAAACCAGTGG